TAAATCCACTAGGTAAGTAGATAAATAAGGATTAGAAAGGGTCAAACATTACAAAAAAAATAACAGGAATTACTGTATACATTTCAATAATAACTGTGAATGTTAATGGTTTCTTGTTTATAAACCAAGACACAGATTGGCAGAGTGGACTAAAAAAGAAAATCCAACCCATTTCTTGACTATAAGAAATTCAAGTCTCTGACAAAAACACTGTCTTAAAGTGAAAGGATGGAAAAAGTTATTCCAAGCAAATGGAACCCAAAAGCAAGCAGGAGAAAGCTGTACTCATATATGACAAAGCAGACTTCAAACCAAAGCTAGTCAGAAGATAAAAGAAGGTCACTTCATAATGATAAAGAGAACAACCTGTCAAGAGACATGGTCATTGTAAATACATGCACAGAATGTTGGCACACCCAATTTCATGAAAACCAGCATGACTGGACATAAAAGCAGAGATAGACCTCAAACAAATATATCAACACCTTACTCTCATCAATAGGTAGATTGGAATTCAGACATCTATAGAATATTCCATCCTTGGGCTACTGAATACACATTCTTCTCAGCAATCTATGAAACTTCCTGCAAAATAGATCCTATTTTAGGACATAAATCAAGTCATAACAAAATATGACAAAATTGAAATAACTTCCTGTTTTTATCAGACCACAGTGGAAATAAAGCTAGAAATCAAAGGCAAAAGAAACTACAGAAAAATGTTCAGACTGTGGAGACTGGAAAACACTGTTGAATGATCATTGAAGAAACAGGGAAGAAATAAAAAAAATTTTAGAATCAAGTCTGGTGCAGTTGTACACATGTGTAATCCCAGATACCTGGAAGGCAGAGATCAGGAGGATCCTGATTTGAGGCTATCCTGGACATAAAGTTAGCGAGACCTAATTTCAATCAATAAGCCAGGTATGGTGGTGTGTGCCTGTGATCCTAGCTATATGGGAGGCTGTAGGTAGGAGGATTGTAGCTTAAGGCTGGCTTGGGGCAAAAATCCAAGACCCTACCTGAAAAATACCTAAAGCACAAAAGGGTGTTAGGCATGGCTGAAGTGGGAGAGAGCCTGCCAAGCAAGCGCAGGGCTCTGAGTTCAAACCCTAGCACCCACACCACCAAATTCCTAAAAAAAATGAAAAGGAAAACACAACTTACCAGAATCTTTAGGACACAACAAGGCAGTGCTAGAAGCAAAGTTTATAGCTATGAGCACCTACATTACAAAATCAGAGATCTCAAAATATTGATGCAACTCAAGTGTTCAAAAAATAAGAACAAGCCAAAACCAAAATTGGCAGATGAAAAGAAATAATAATTATCAGGATAGAAATAAATGAAATGGAGAGTAAAAAATTAAAAGATTCAATTGAAACAAAGAGTTGGTTCTTTGATAAAATAAACAAGATTGACTAACTCTTAGCCAAATTAACCAAAAGAAAGAGAAGACCCAAATCAATAAAATTAGAAATGAAAAAGGGGAAACAATAAATGTCAGTGAAATTCTGAGGAATTTGAAAACTTACATTCTAAAAAACTAGAAATTCTAAAGAAATGGGTAAATTTCTAAACACATATGACATACCTAAATTGAACCAAGAGGAAATAAACCACTTAAACAGATTTATAATGCAGCAAGATTGAAGCAGTAATAAAGTCTCCCAACTAAGAAAAGCCAAAGATTAGATGGTTTCACTGCTGAATTTTAACCAGACCTTTGAGGAAGAAAGTAACAACAATGCTCCTCAAACTATTCCATAAAAGAGAAGATGGAAGAAAACTACAAAAACTAATTTTTAGGAAACCAATGCAACTTGAGACCAAAACTAGAAATGGAAAGACCTCCCATGTTCATGGATTGGCAGAATGAACATTGTGAAAATGGCTATACTGCCTAAAGTAATATACAGACTCAATGCAATCTCCAAAAATTCCAATGTCCTTTTTTATGAAAATAGAAAGTTCTAAAATTCACATGGAAACACAAAAGACCTTTAATAACCAAAGCAATCCTGAGCAAAAAGAGCAATACTAGAGATCTCAAAATACCTCACTTAGTAAGGCAGAGCTACAGGAATAAAAACTACATGGCACTGGCACAAACAGACATGCAGGTCAGTGGACTAGAACAGAAAGATCAATAGATAAGTCCACACAACGACAGTCATCGGATTTTTTGATGAGGGTGTCAAAGACATACCTTGGAGAATAGATAGCCTCTTCAACAAATGGCGTTGGGAAACTGGATATCTACATGTAGAATACTGAGCCTAGATCCCTATCTCTCACCCTGCACAAAAATTAATTCATAATGGATCAAAGATCTTTGTGCAAGACCCAAGACTTTGAAACTGCTGTAGAAAAACATAGGGGAGGCACTTGAAAGACAGTCACATACACAACAATTTTCTGGACAGGACTCCAATTGCTCAGGAAATAGAGCAAGAATTGACAAATGGGACTGCCTCAAATTAAAAAGGAAACAGTCACCGGAATGAAGAGACAACTCACAATGTGAGAAAATCTTTGCAAGATATTCACTGGATAAAGGATTAAATAGGCAGAATAGATAAAGAGCTCAAACAATTAAACACCAAAAGCACAAATATTCCAATTAATAAAAGGTCAAATGAGTTAAACAGGCAGTTTTCAAATGAAGACATGCAAATGACCCATACAGACATACATCATTAGTTATAAAAAATGCAAATCAAAATGACAGAGTCCATCTCACCCCAGTCAGAATGGGTGTCATCAAGAAAACAAACAAATGCTGGCAAGGATACAGGAGAAAAGGAACCCATATACAGTGTTGGTGAGAATGTGAACCAGTGCAATCATTCTGGAAATGAATATGGAGATTCCTCAAAAAACTAAAAATAGAACTACATATGATATACTATAGCAGTATAGCAATCCTGAACAAATATCTACTCACAATAGCCCAGCTGTGGAATCAGCCAAGATGTCCAAAACATAAGTGCACAGCCATAAAGAAGAATGAAATTTTGTCTTTGGAGGAAAATAAATGGAAGTGGAGATCAGCATTTTGTATAAGATTAAGCCAAGCTCAGAAAGAAGATAACTATTGCATATTTTCCCTCATATGGGGAATTTAGACCATAATAATAATAAATGTTCAAGGAGGACTGTTAGAGGAAGAACCAGATTGAGGGGTGAAGGGTTAAGGAGAGAGTGATGGTGGGTGAATGCGATTAAAATACATTATATGTATTATTATTATTATTACTATTATTGTAGTACTGGGGCTTGAACTCAGGGCCTTAACCTTGAGCCACTCCACCAGCCTAAGTTTTTGTGATAGTACTTTTTTTGAAATTTTATTTCTTTTATTCATATGTGCATACAATGTTTGGGTCATTCTTCCTTCCCCCCGCTCCCTTGTGATAGTGTTTTTTGAGATAGGATCTTATGAATTATTTGTCTGGGCTGGCTTCGAACTGCGATCCTCCTGATTTCTGCCTCCTGAGTAGCTAGGATTATAGGCATGAGTCACCGATGCCCAGCTTATTCTATGTACTATGAAATGGCAGAAGGAAAGTCAGTAGTGCAGTAAGGGGTAATGGATATGGAGGTGGAGTAAGAAAATTACAAAGGGATGATTTTGATCCAAGTACATTATATCCATGTAAGGAACTATCACAATGAAAACCCTTTGTACAATTCATATGTTAACAGAATTTTAAAAAGAAAAGGGAATTTCTGAATCCCAAAAGACAAAAAGTTTACATGTGTTCATTCTGAGGGGTGGCTATATGTGTGTTTATTATATTATCCGCTGTACTTTATGTATTATTAAAACTTAGAAAAGGAAACAGAGGAAGGTCACAGCCACACAGCAGCGTTTACAGTGAGTAGGATTCCTGACACGATCCTCCCCCACCGCCCCTGGGGAAAGTGTGGGTGAATCTCTGTTCTCTGGTTTCCTGGCCTGCAGGCAGCTCTCCAAGGTCCCTGGAAGCATGTGGAGGGGCTGCCGACCTCCCCCGCACCTTACCGTGTCCAGCTCGGATTCCAAGCTGCAGTTTTTAATGTGTGGGAGCACCTCGCCGTATTTGCCCGGGTAGGTGGACGCTAGGTAGCCCTTCACCTCCTCCAGGTTGCTGGCTGTCAGAAAGCCATCTTCAAGGTCAAAAGAGTTGGTCAGCAGCAGAATCACCTGCAGAGCAGACCATCAGCTTGATGTTCACTGTCCCCAAAGCCTCAGAAATGTGGGTGCCAGGCTGCCCTCCTGCCAGCCCCTTCCTTCCTGCCTAGGTGAGGAAGGGAATTTGGGGGTTGCTGACCCTCCAGAGGACAGGACAGCTGGGAATGGCTTTGAAGACGCCTCAGATAGGAACAGGGATGACAACAGGACCAACCCCCACAGTGAGGCATGGACCGGTAAGGCCTGATGGAACTTTGTGCAATGGTGGAAGTGTCCATATTGGCTGTCTGACTTGGCGCCCAAGTTGGTACCCATGAGGACTTGAAGGTGGCTAGTGCCACTGAGGAACTAATAGTAAATCTGCAATTACTTAAGTTAATGTGCAACTTAAAATATTTCAATCAAATTAAGCCCATTAATTTAAACCCTATTGTAGAAATAGTTGCTAGTGGCTACTGACTACCATACTGGACACATTTCCCTCTGGAAGATGTTCCTGTATTTTGGGAGGGAGACACAGCCTGTAAATTCTGTAACTTCCATGGCTTGGCCAGAGAGGTTGCTGGTTACACTGAGGTAGTTGTTTGTTGGGTGCCCTGTTTTACTAAATATGTTCAACACCTCATCCCGGGAGGCAGACCTAGCCCAAAGGGCCTTGGGTTGTAGTGCTGGTGGCGGGAGCCTGAAATGGAACCCAGCCTTGAGGACCCCATTGCTGGTGGCCTTGTCTTCTGTGCATCCAGCTACCCAGTCACCCCTTCAGCTCAGAGCTTTGGAAAGTTGCTCCCCACTTGAGGTCCAGATTTCCACGAGACAGCCAGACTCACTTGTTTAAGCAGTTTTCATAGTTGAAGGTGGCCTTGAAGCCATAGATAGAGAAGGTCACGATGCTGGCAAAGATGGAGGTGGAGCTGTTGACAAGGGACACAATGATGGCATGTTTCTGGCAGTTGTTGGAAGGCTCATTGTAGCTGGCGAAGGCGATGAGGCTTCCGAACCCCAGGCCCAGCGAGAAGAAGATCTGTGTGGCTGCATTGATCCAGGCCTTGGGGTTGGCCAGCTGCTCAATCTGGAAGGTCAACAGGGGTAGGACTGAGGAACCCTGGGCTCCAGTTCCAGACTCACAGCCATGAGAGAGGAGGCCCAGAAAGGGGAGGAACTTTCCTCTAATACAGGCATTCAGGACACTCAACTGGGATTGGAACCCAGCTCTGCCAACCCTGGTCTGGGCCCTGTGTGTCCCTAGCAGATGATCTTCTTGGCAATCCTCCTGGCATATCCTCCATGCCACCTTACCCCTGGGAGGTATATAATAGAATATTCTGTGGTCAAATAAAGAAAAATAACTGGAGCCTCAGATTCATCGCCTAGCCCTCCAGAGGTCTGGACCTGCAGAGATTCAGGTGGTATGGTCTGGATGAGGAGGCCAGGTCTACACTGACTCCACACTGACATCAGGGGCATTTGAAATGAGGGAGTACATTTTGGGGGATTCTATAGTCATTTGTTTCTATGTACTCCATGTACTAAATGAGGAAGTGCTCATGGCCCCCAGTGAGGAGCACTGACTGTGGGGTACCTGGGGAGTATGGATTGGGAACCTAGAGGGAAAGGGGATGAGGATAGGTGGGAACAGTGAGGGAGATGACTGAAGTGCTGTCTGTGGTAAGTGCTCAGAGGAGATTCTAGACAGGGCTTTGGGTAAATCTTATGCATGAGGACCAAAGAGAGGCTGAGCGTCAGTCTTCTGGAAGCACTGGGGACAATAGGAGGAGCTAGAAGGAAGACTTACTGCACCAGAATGCATAGGATGAGGGACCACCTGTCCTAGGAGGTGGTCCAGGCCCCCAGGGATTCACCTCCTGTGCCAGCTTTGGGGCTCACTTTGGCCTCCATCTTCCCCTCCTTCCAGCCATCTCAGAGGTGGCAGCATGAGTTATGGGTATCCTCAGAGCCCTCTCTCCTCCAACTGTACCTTGGGGGTGAACATGTACACCAGGCCATTGGTGGCTCCGTGGAGTGTAAGGCCTCTGATCAGATAGATGATAAGCACACAGTAGGGCAGCGATGCAGTGAAGTAGACCACCTGTGAGCACCAGAGGGCAGAGTCAGTTTCCAGTTGAGGAGTGGAGAGCAGGGAGACTAAAAATACCACATCTTGCATATTCGGGGTACACCCTGCTCACAGCTAGAAGAGGCATTGGCATCTCAGTTGGACCCAAGGTGAATGTGAGCTGGAGAAGCAGGACGGTCCATGTCTCTCACCAGAAAATCTCCCATTCGGCAGAGAAGAGGCCAACAGAACTGAAATAATGACCACCAGGCCACAGTTTTCCTGGGACAGTTTAGTTATGCATACCTTTCTTCCCCGCCCCAATTCTTGCTCTATTTAAACCTAAAGCTTATGTTTGTATCCCAAAGAAGGCTGAAGTGCTTACTGAGCCTCTTTCTTACCTGCCTGTGCCAGGTAATACACCGCCTTTCTCTGCCCTTTGCTACTACTCATGTCTTCATTTGGTGTACTGGGGCGACTGGCTGACCTGACAGTCACGTGGATCCCTAGAATTAGGGTTGTGGCTTAGAAGTCCCAGTTAAAACCTTGGCTAGCCATAGCCAAGAGAAAAATACATCCTGTGGGCACTTGTACTAAGTCAACCCGAGACAGAGACTTGCTTTTATTCCAGGAACTTTTTCTTATATTTCCACTTTCACTGACTTTGGCTGCCTTTTACCATCATTTGGTTAGGCAGAGAAATGAATAAGGACAAAAGCCCAGAATGTTCAAGAAAGTTGCAAAGTGTATAAGTAAATCTTTAAATGTATGTAAAAGATGGAGTTATTAAAAGTTTAAGTGTATAATTAGATCGACTATAATTTAAGAGTGACCTAAAAATTTTCTAAGATCAAATTTAAATGTACTGATTAAAACTAGAACCTAATTCTCGGTGTCTAAAGCAAATATTAAAAATATTTTTGGCTTTTAGTAACATTTACAGAAAAACTGGCTTAAAAGACAAAGATTTTGTGTTCTATCATGACAATTTATTGGGTTTTCTATGGATTTTGCCAGGTTTTAGACTATTTGGGAAAGTGAGTCTTCATTTAAATATCTGTTTATGTAATACTCTTTTGAATGACCATTTGTGAACTATGGATAACACAAAGACTATTATTTTAAGTGATTCTAATGCATTCAGCACCCTAGATATCTTTGACAAGAAATGTGTAGAGCTGTGCATCTGAAATGTACCGAAGCATTGTGCAAACATTTTCAGAGTTAAAAGTGTGTGGTGTGCAAACTGACAACAAGTGCCCTCTTTTATACAATTTGCTTTGCAGCTGGGCACTCAACATATAAAATGTCAATGAGAAGGGAGCGGGGAGGAGGGGGAGAGGATGAGGGAGGGGGCAGCAGGGAGAAATGACCCAAACAATGTATGCATATGTGAATAAATGAATAATAAAAAAATTAAAAAAAGAAAATGTGATATGAATAAAATAAATAAATAAATAATAAAATGTCAATGAGGCTTTTGACATTTCTGGCCTTCATCATCAAAGCCATTCAGGCGGGGAGAAGTGACTGCCATTTGAGCATCTGTGCCATGTAAATCCTGGTCTACACCTATCTTCTTTGACTAAATAAGCATTTTTGTTATTGTACATATGAGATACATTTGTACATCTGAAAATAAGTCTATTTGTGGCTAGTAACACCATCCCCTAAACCTGTGAAAGTTCTAAAGCTTTAATTTTTGTCAATGCATGCTCTTAACAGCCTACCAAGCCAAAGATTCTAAATTTCACCCTAAAAGTGGAAACTAACTTGAAATATAAAGGACTTGCATGTAACTCAGATGCTAATTGTTGCTGGTGCCTTTATATACTAAATGTATTTATGTTCCCCAGATATATAAACCTACTAGAATGGAAAGCTTAGGAGATCACGTTTACCAAACTGGTTCTCCAAGTTGAAATTGTTAGTGGTGCTAGCCTTTTACAGGATTGTCTTCTATAAGTAAAGATAATCAGATGTGCACTGCAAGTTGTGCTACTCTAATAATTCAAATGATTGGGCACTGGTCACCTAGAGCACATGTGTACTAGCAGTCTACTTTATTTAAAAGACAAAATTAAATGGGACTATATCTATATTATATAACTTATTTCATATGTGTATATGTATATAAATTAAATTATGTCATTCTTGTTTTTGGTGGTACTGGGGTTTGAACTCAGGGCCTCAACCCTTGCTAGACAGGCACTCTGCCACTTGAGCCACTCCTCCAGCTCTTTTTGGTGCTGGGTATTTTCAGGATAAGGTCTTATGAACTATTTGCCCAAGCTGGCCTCGAACTGTGATCCTCCTGATTTCTGCCTCCTGAGTAACTAGGATTACACAGGTGAGTTACTGGCACCTGGCTTATAAATTACATTATTCTTTACAGCAAAAATTTCAATTTATCTTTGAGAAGATAATAAAGAGAGCTTGATGGTCCTGACATAACCCTGTCAATCACAATTATTATCCTAAAATTCTTTTGTCAATTGATAAGCTTTTTTTTTTTTTTCAAAAATCTAACTATGGTTAGTCTACGTTTTTTTGTCATTGCAGTTTTGCTCCTTCTTTAAATGACTCTAACAAGTACTTATTTTTCAAACAAATTAATTGTTTAAACTATTTGGTTGATTTTATCAGTTTTGTTTTGTATTTTCCTTGTAAACCTTTGTGCTACTGTCTGTTGGCATTCTGCAGAAGTACAATTTCTAACAAAGACACTTATGCAATGTTTTTGGGTGCTAACGTACCACCTGCAGAACTGAATTAATCTTAAGAATGGATTCCAGGTAAGACTACTCTAAGGGCCCTGTCTTCTAAGTCTTTTTCTTGCTCAGATTTGACCAAAAGGGTCTTATTGGCACTGACTCCTAAGCTTCCTTTCACTTTCCCCTCTGACATGGAATCACAGCAGACTGTCTGGGACTAATCTCTCCTTGGCAACAAGGGACAATTAACCACAGAGTAGTTAATAAAGTGATATCTTCGGAGAAAACTATTTAGAGACCGGGGAAAAGTTGACAGAATGCAAATGGAGTCATGCTGAGTGTGGTGGTGCATGTCTATAATCTCAGTCCTTAGACACTAAAGCTGGAGGATCATGAGGTCAGGGCCAGTCTACACAACATAATAAGATTGACTCAAAAAACACCAATGACAAAAAAAATGAAAAAAAGAATGGAGTCACTTAGGCCAACCCTTCCAAAGGTAACTAAAGCTGAGAGGTTACGGACAAAGGATTCTTAGATGTGGCTGTGTGACAGTAAAGCCCTTGAAGATATCTCTGACAAAAGGTGAACTCATACCTGTGGCTTCTATTTAAGTAGAGACAAAAATGACCATTTCTGTTGACTCTTAATATACATTTTTTGGTCCATACTCAGGGAGTGACTTAAAAAATGATATCCCTTCCACAATTTATTTAAAGGATGTCTTCTCCTATACTCGTGTTATGATGGCATGTCTAGTTTTAGTCTTTAACAATGGGCTCTTTTGATTTATAGACTTCAGCTATTACAATCTGTTCCCTTCTTGTGTACAGTCAGAAAACCTACAAAGCCAGATTAGCTATAACTAATTCCCTCAAGATTAACAAATGCTCAAACACTAGGAATGAATTTTAGCAGGTATTTAGAAACTGCTTTTGCTAAAAACACTGATTCCTCACTTGGGTCTGCAAATGTCTAAAGGATAACTAAAAGCAGGAGAAAAGCCTGACATCTCTGCCTCCATTTTGTACCTGTCTCCTTTACTTTCAGTCTCTCTCCCAAGCAATCATCTTGGAATCCAGGAAGGACAGGACTGATGAATGAACATCTTGTGATACGAGGTGAAACTGCCCCCCCGCCGACAACAATGACTTTCTTATCATGACCCCCTCAAGAGATGACAGCGGTAACAATGTGTCCAGAAACCCTTGCAGAACCAGATCTGAAATCATGATGAATCAGACCACAGTTGCCTGGACTGTTCAATTATGCCTACCTCTCTCCCCCTACAATCCTTCCTCTATTTAGACCTAAACCTCATGTTTGTACCCAAAGACAGCTGAAGTGCTGACTGTGCCTCTTACCATGGCGTGCCTGTGCCATGTTTTATATCTCCTTTCTCTGCTCTTCACCACTGCTCATCTTTTTATTTGGTGTGTTTTGGCAAGTGGCCAGACCTAACAGATGTGTAGAACCCCTGGAGTTAAACCTGTGGCCAAGACTGTCAGTTACAGTAGGACGGAGGAATCAGCTCTCCATGAAACGCCATCAGGCAGCTGAGTTGGAGAGGCAGGGGCAGGATGTCTCAGGGATGTGTGCAGTGATTCCAAGTTTTAAAGAAGGGACCCTCCCTGTTTAAATGTTTGCATATATGGACTGGGGCTGGATGGCACAGAAATGTTCATCCTGATACGTATTGAGAGCATCCTCCTTTGAAGGTTCAAGGTTGAAACCTCAATCCCTCCGGTCATCTTTACTGTCACCTAGTAAATGAATTTTGCATGCAACAACATCCATGCACTCTGCCCCAGCATGCTTCAAGCCCTGGCATTGCCTGACAGAGGCATGGCCCCCCACATGCCCACCTGCCCAGGCACGGGGTCCTTCATGCTCCCTGCCCACCTTGCCAGTAGATTCGGTACCCCGCAGGATGCACAGGTACACCATCAACCAAGCCAGGGTGAGGCACAGCGCCGGCTCCCACTGCACGCTTCCATTCTCCTGGATGGATGGTGAGATGTTGAGCGTTTTCCTGTACCAGAAGTACTGTGTTGATGAAGCCTTCTCGCACTCCTCATCATAGCCTGTGTGGTTTCCATTCAATGGGCAGACAGACCATGGCAGGGGATCCTTTGATCAAATGAGCATCAACAGAGAGGTGAGAGTGAGGCAGTGGTCTGGTGGGATGATGGGAGGTGGCCCTGATAGGAGGGCACTTAGAAAAGAAGGCTGGACCCAAAGGACAGGCAGCTCCTGAGACAGAAAGGAAGTCAAAGAGTTTGTCAAGGGTTAGAAGGAGCCTTGTGTAGTTTGGGATGTTGAATGATCCACAAGGTCCATATATAAAGGCTGGACCCCCCTGGGTGATGGTATTGGGAGTTGCTGTGGACCTTTAAGAGGTGGCAGAGTGGAAGTCATTAGGTCACTTGGGGTGGGGTCCCATCTACCTCTTTCTCTCTGCTCCTGTTCATGATGTAACCATTTGCTCCTGCATTTACTCTGACCATGATGCACGGCCAAGTGCCACCTTCATGAGAGGCCAAACCAGCCATGCCCATTTGGCTTTGGTCTTTAACCATGTGAGGTAAATACACCTTTGCTGTCTGTAAGTTAGCTGCCATAGGCATTGCAATGCAGCAATGCAAAGCTGACTAATACAGGGCTCTAATCTCATTGTGATTCTGCACGTGTTTCCTTAGGATGAGGACAAAGGCCAGGTGAGCTATGATGGCAGAGCTCTGACCCATCACCTCTGCAGGGGCCAGGCCAAGAGCTCAAACCACAAGCTCTGTGCCATCAGCCAGAATGGTCAGGACCTGGTCAATGGCTTCTAGTTTTTGTCAACTCAAGACCAAGGAGAGAAAGCCAAATACACTCCCCTCACCATAGTATGCCTCTCTTCTACTTGGCCCTCCTCCAGCTTCCTCAACCAACAGCTCATCAGGACATCTCTGCTGGTGGAGACAGTTATTTCTTCCATGAATGTTGGGTTTGGAAATTAGAGGAGATGAGCTTCAGCACCCTGAAGCCATCATGCCCCTTGAGTCAGAGAACCTGGGACCAGTGACCTCCTTAGGGCTGGAGTCAGCTGGGCTCTAGGCAGTTAGACTCCTGGACTTTGTGGTGTGGAGCCAGTGAGATCTTCCTCAGCTTTACTACTTAGAACGGGGTTCTGTGGTACTTATGAGCGAAAGGGCCTAAATGATGCTTGTGCAGTGAGCACGATCCATGGCCAAGAGGACAATAGATTTACTGTATGAATCGAGGAAAGAAAAATTATTCTGACCAGATTTGGGGGGTGGTAGGAAATCATGACCCTGCTCTGCAAAAATCAGTTCCTTGTTTATCAGGTTTTTCAGGGATCTGGGTTCCAGAAGCTCAAAGTCACTAGACAAAAATGTTCTAGTAACAGAAGCAAGTCGGACTGCCTCCTTGGCTTCAGTCCCCTATTTCACTGTACTGTACGCACAAAGGCCAGGGCATTGCCTGATGGGCCATGGCCACTCTCCAGTGACAGTGGGAGCCAAGTTGACACCCTGGACAGTATTGAAGCTCTGTGTTGGTGAGCCACAGCCTCACGGGGCCCCAGTCTGTTGGAATGTGAGAGTCAGGTTCCTAAGATGGCATCCAAATACCATGCCACTCTTCATCCGGGCCCATGAATGGGGGCTCTTCCAGGGCTGGTTTTGACTGACACAGTACAGTGGGGAAGAGCTGGGTTAGGCCCTCATGTCTTGTAGCTGCCCTTTTGCCCCCTTGGAAACCGTCCATTCTGTGAAGACACTCGGGTGAGACTCCTAAATGGTAAAGTCACATGGACAGAGAAGACTCCAGGAAGGAAAGAAGTGCCCAGTGTGCAGCCACTGGGAAGAAGCTACAGGGCATGTATGATCTGGTTCAGCTGAGCAATTTGCAGTCCTCATTCCCCCTCATATGTGTCAGCAGGTGAGGACATGGGGTCCTGCATCTGCTCAGGTGGGTGCCTCCACTGGGAAGGGCCCTTTGATGTCTAGTGCACTGACTCAACTGGTTATCCATTCCTCTTCCTCTTTTGTCATCTGGGAAGTGGCTGACATAAAGGCAGCTATGGAAAGGTGAGTGGGTGCTACAAGGAGAGGTGTACCTGAGACTGAAAAGTCTGAAGACCAGGAAAAGAAGGGAACATGAGTGGGGAGAGGAAAACTCCTCTGGTCTTGGGTACAAAGTCTGGCCCTCAGTGTGGAATTTGGCTTCTCTCTTTTCTTCAATTCCAACCCCTTCCATTTTCTGCAATGAGCATCAGCTATGGGGATAATCAAATGCCTGGTTTAAAATCTGTGTCTTTGAGAAGAGCCTACATCACAATAAGGTGACAACAGGGAACTTTTGAGTGTGCAAGGAAAAGGAAGGCTCACTGTGGAGCCAGAAATCTGGAAGGACCATGTCCCTAGCAAGAAGGGGGAAGAGGGGACAGAAGAGGATAAGGCCCCACCACTGCGGTCTTGCTGGGATGGCGAAGTCACTTCCCATCAGTCCTCACCATATTTTCTCCCAGGGCCACTATGAAATGGTTCTTAGTATTTTGGGGGCACATCCTTCAGAGAGACACCAGTGAAAGCTACAGACCTGTTCCCTAGCAAAGTGCACATGCGCACAAGCACCTGTCCGCCTGCACAATCTGGTCTGCAATTTGAGAGGCTGTGGATCTGGACCTGGCACACCCTTTCCTTAGTTTTCTGTGTCTGCTTCTCCCAGTCCTTCCTCCACTTGCTCATTCCCCTGGAGGCTGGCATCCTTACCCTCCCCCCAGCTCCCCAGGTGGGCGGCCCTGCATCCTCCTTCCTTCTTGTTCCTGTTCTGGCCAGGGCTGTGGCTCACCTGGAAGGAGTGGAAGAGGTACCAGAAGCCCCAGGCATTGATGACATTGTAGTACATGGAGAGGAAGAAGGAGACCACCACACTAGCAACACCTGTGAGGAAGAAGTGGGCATGCTTAAGACCAGATGAGGGTGACCCCGCCTCGTGCCTGCTCCCAGGACACACCTGTGGGACTCTCCTCTTTTCTGGGTGGAAAGAACAGACTGTGGCCATTGGTTGCCCTAAAGGTGCCAGAGGATGGGCTGGAGGGAACTGGGGAGATGCACGGTGGGACACAGCGCCCCCTGCTACCCATGTGCTCCTCCACTTCTGCACACTGGAGGCTTTAGCAGCACCCCATAACCTCTCGGGAGCGTGATGGGCATTAAATGTGCTCATGCACTTACACTCTGTCGACAGCACCTGGCACACAGTAGGTGCTCAGCAAAGGGGAGAGCTGCTAATGAGCAGGGAGCAGGTGTGTGCGTCCCCAGAATGGTTGCTGCCTGGGACTGAGTTAGAGCTCCTGTGCTGGCCAGCCATTTCCCTTTCACAGACCCCCACACTGGATCCAGAGAGGAGAAGAACTGTGTTGTGAGGTCCCCAGCGACTTCTGTGAGGGTGAATTCCTCACATGCCAGGGAACACTATGGGGTCTCTGGGTAGGAGGGGACTGGAGAGAACCCCCACTTACCTACACCACCGAGGTAGGGGCTAATGGCCCTCCAGGCTCCGATGCTGCCCTGCCTCATGCGTTGCCCCACGGCCAGCTCCAGGTACAAGAGTGGCATTCCCTCCACGATGAGCATGACGAGATAGGGGACCAGGAAACTGCCTGTGGACATCCAGAGCTGAGGGCCAGGCCAGCACCACTGATGGCCTTACTCGGCCACTCACCACCTCTGTGCAATCACCCTTCCATCATTCTGCCTTTCTGATTGTCCATGTGTCCTACCTCCCACCCATCTGCCCTGGAATCTTTCCACTCCTCAGCCTAAGTGTCTTCCACTTTCAATAGTTCATTCCTGTCATTCCTCTCACCCATCTCTCTCTCATCTACTTGTCCATCCATCCATCCTTCCACCCTCCCATCCATCTATTCATCCATCCATTGATCCAACCATCCATCCATTCATCCCACGACACAGAGTCATGTCAGTTGTTGAAATTTTTGAATACTTGTTCTATGGGAGGCAAATTTCTGGTGTTCCCAGCTTATTGAGTGTCCCCCCAAAGGCCTCTGCTGGTCCAGCCTTTCTGCCAAATCCCATATTCCATCTTCTATTTCAGATCCTGGATCACTATATTTTGAACACTTCTCTGAGTCTGTCCATCCAGCTTCTCTTCTCTCCACTTCCCTAGGGTCTGTGCCTGGCTCTGATGGTGCCCCCAGGAGCTGATATCTGAACTATCACTTTCCCTGGCTCCATTCTGAGCTGGGATTGGTATGGGAGATTAGCAGCTTGCTCCCTGTCCTGGAGAGAGACCCCCCTCCGGGTGCAAAGAGGGAGATTTTAGTTGCCTTGGAGTTGTCCAGGGCCACAGAATGTTGCTGCAGGCCTGATATCTTCAGAGATGGCTTTAGAGGCCATCATACTTACATTTGGAGTAAGTGTGTGGAGGTGAGAGTGCCCCAATACAGAGCTCCAGGCCACACCCTCCTTTTACAGAGTACCTCTGTGTATATCTGTTTTATATTGATTTCCCTTCCTTCCTTTCCTTCCCTTCCCTTCTTTCTCTCCTTCCTCCCTCCCTCCCTCCCTCCTTCCCTCCCTTCCTTCCTTCCTTCTTTCCTTCCTTCCTTCCTTTTCTCACCCGGGCTGGCCTTTAACTTGGGAATCCTCCTGCCTCCTTTTCCTGAGTGCTAGGATATGTGCCACCATGCCTAACTCATATCTGTTTTATTACAGAGATCTTCAACCTAAAATTTCATTTTGTGAAGGGTGCTAGGATTCAGAAAAACTTCAAACCCATCAATTCTTAAGGAACCAGCTGCAGACAATTCCCCTTGGGGGTGGTGGGGAGCCAGGTGTGTGAACAGAGCTGTGGACTCCCATTGTCAGACACATGCAGAGAGGCAGGTGCGCTGTACAGGGATACCCACTTCTGCCCCACAGTGGGCTGGCCCACAGTTCTTCTGTGTCAATCCCAACCTCACCCCAGTAGCTCCTCAGCCATCCCTGCCCAGCGCCTGGGTACTTGGCAGGGGATTTGAGAAAAGTCCAGGGGGAGAAGAGCATTGGATTCAAGCAGAATCCTGACACTGAAACAGATGATAGGGACCCACCTCTCCCTGGGACACTGGAGTAGGAGTTAAACCTTGTTAGAGCACTGTTAAATACTGATAAAGACTATAACGGATGAGCCTTTGTAGAAAGTGCTTTCGAAAGTTTATTTTTCCTTTAAGTGTACTAAGATTTGGGGTTTGGGGAGATTTATCTTCTTAATTGCCAGGACACTGGCTGCCTTGAGCAAAGGATTACCAACCAGGCAGCAGGACCACCTCACGCCAGCACCCAAAGCACAACCACTCTGGCTCCAGAAGGCACTGCCCCTGCAAACAGTTTACACTGGATGTTTTGCCATTCAAACCTTGGCAAACTCCAGATGACCCAATAGCCATTTCCACCCAGGCCAGAGGAGGAAACAATTCCTGGTGGCCCAGCAGAAGACCTATGACTGGTGTAAATATAGTCCTTCATTTGCATAAGGTACTGCTATGGCTGGTGACAAGCACTGTGCCATGATTGGTGCAAATATAATCCTGCATTTGCATGAGGGGACTGCTGTGATTGGTGCAGGCATCCTTGTCACAACCCGTTCTGACTATGTACAGGCTGCTCAGCTCCCTTTCTGAGCAGCCACCCTCCTTTGCCCATTTTTGATTCTTGACATTGGTACAGCAGCTAAGCTGGTAACACAAAGAAAAGCATTAGGCAGGACAAGTGGTTCTTGGGGTAATGGGAGCCATGGACCTGAGTGGGAGTGGGAACATCAGTGAGCTCAGCCAATCACCACCATTCAGGCACACAGGAACAGAAGACAGCTGTAGGGTAGCCAGAGCTATGGGGAAAAAGCAGGGGAAGAGTGGAGGTAGCAGTGGGTGTCAGAAAGAGCACGCATCCTTGGGCAATGGGGGCCATCAGGCCCTTGGTATTGGAAGACAGCTATAGGGTGTCTGAAGCCCCAGCAGCAGCAGCAGACAGATCCCACAGCAGTGGGGACTGTCACTGGGAGTGGCCTTGGGCCCACTGACACCATTGGGCTCGTGATAATGCAGGCGGCAGCAGCAGTGACAGATATGGCTGCCCTGAAAGTGAAACTGCCATCCGTTGGGATCAGTGGAAAGACACCTCCCCCTGCAGGTCCCAGCCCAAGGCGCAAAAGAGCTGTAACACTTCTGTCTGAGGTCTGACTCTCAAGACTCCCATGCCACTACCCTAGCTGTCAGAGGCCTCCAGCCAACTGCCACTGCCAGCTGTCACCAACTCTCATAGCTTGCAAACACCCGCCAAGGACCCAGAATAACTGGAGGAGCTTCTCCTCGCCTACCCACGATTTCTATCTGGGTGGAGCTGAAGGACCCCATGCCAACTGATTTGTGACAACACTACAGCTGACAGAGTAAGGCCTTACCGCAGAGGGAACTGGCTGCTCAGGTGTTAGGGTGAACAAGGAAATTCATGTTGCTGCTTAAACACCTGACAGTTACACGAGATGCCTCTCTGGTACACGTGCTCTGGCCTGCACCCACGTCTCTCACCCGCGGGAGTTCACTTACTCTCCCTACTGCACAGGGAGATCTGAGCACCCAAGCAGCTGCAGAGCGCTCTGCTCTGAAACTAAGCATCCAGGCATCGTGGGACACTCAGGCCATGTCCAGTTTCCTACCTTCTTCAACAAAGCTGTGGGAGGCAAGGGGCTCACCTCGCTTGGTTCTTCATGGGCCCACATATCCCAGAAGTAGAATGGCTGGGACAGAAGTGGAGCCCTGTGGCCACACCAGTGAGGGGAACAGCAGGAGCTATGGGTGAAGGAAAGTGAGTGCCCACACCACCAGGCTGGCCTACCTAGCATTCCTTGTGTGCAGGTGGGGCCTGAACAACCCTCCCTCTCCCTTCAGGTCTGTGCTGTAAGAATTCTCCAGGCCCAGTCCCTTCCGGGCCTGCAGAGACTTGTTTCTGTCATTCACCAGGTTCTTCTCTATGCCAAAGGAGTGTGAGGCGGTCAGTGGCTGTCATCCAGGAAATACCTAAGAATAAAGGCTATGTTCCCACACCTGTGCAGAGCAACTGTCCAGTCCTCAGAAGTTATAAGATAATCTACTTTTCACTCAAAGTGTCAAACAGTAACCACAACAGGCCTGGTAAGGCCCACAGTCAGCTTCTCTCTGGCAGGACCTGCCTCTCTGCCCACTGCCCAGGGTCAGGTGGAAATCCAAAGCCTGGTACCAGGGTGGGGGCCATTAGCCCTGCCCTCTCATGATTTCATCACTCCCCCAACCCTCAGAAAACCCACAATTCAGAGCAACGTGTCCTGTAATGCTTTGTCAACAATGACGCCACAACAATCAACATTCATGTGCACATAGTGATCCTCGATCCATATGACACAATTTATGCCGAAAAGATCTGAAAATGGATCACAGTCCTGTACGTACAACCAAAAACTATGAAACTATAGAAGAATAGGGAAAAAACCTTTATGATCTCAGCAGAAGCACCATCTATGGAAAATCATGTTGCTAAATTGAGGATTCACTGCTCTGTGAAAGACACTTAGAACACGAAGGGACAAACCACAGTGTCTGAGGAAACTCTGTAGCAAGTATATACAAAGGATTCCCAAAATTCCGTGAAAAAAAACAAAGTACCCATTCAAACAAGGCACAAAAATGCCCAACTGAAAATACAGCGAATCCGTGAGATTGGGCAATTCACAAAGAGGATCGATTCACGGCTCATTGTTCTGGAGGAGGAGAAGCTGAAGAGCACGGTGCTGGCATCAGGGGGGCTCCTCTCCCTGCTGCCTTAGCCCACACCGCAAGATAACAGGGCAAGAGAGCCAGAGGTGGCTGGACCTAATTTTATGACAAACCCACTCGGAGATAATGACATTAATCTACCCGTGATGGCAGAGTCCTCATGACCTAATCACCCCGTAAATGTCCCACCTCTCAACGCTGCACTGGGGATTATGTTCCAACCCATGAACTTTTGGAGGCTCATTCAAACCATAGCACTAGTGCTCCACACTAGAGAGCCTTGGGAAGATGCACATTTAAGCCACAAGGAGATGCCACACACTTATTCGTATGGCTAATATTTTAAAATACTGACAATATCAAGTGCTGGTGAAGATTTGGAGAAAGTCTCACACGTTGCTGGGGGGACCTTAATACAGGGCAATCCTTTCAGGTAGCAATTTGTTGTTTTCTTATGAAGTTAAGCCCATACTACTTATCATAAAACCCAGTAAATGGTCTAGGTATTTACTAATGTTCACTTAAAACACATATTTATAGCATATTCATTATTGCCCAAACTGGAACCAACCTAATGTCCTTTAGTGGGTGAATGAACAAACAGATTCTGTATATCCATGCCATGGAATACTACATAGCCAATAAAAAGGAACAAAAGACTGATATTCCTCAAACATAAATGAGTTGCAAAAGCACTATGCTACATAAAAGATGACAGATGCAAAATGATTCAATTTACTTGACATTTTGGAAAAGGAAAAGCTGTAAGAAAAGAAAATAGGTCTGTGGTGGCCAGAGGCAAAGGAATGGGGAGGGACTGGCCACAGGCACATGATGGAAACACTACTGAA